GCGGAATATATCTGACATATGTCCCGTAATTTGTTTGTTTAACCCACTCTCTCCGGCAAGAGTCCATGATTTGTAACACGTATCTGTCTGTGTATGTGTGTTATACGTGGTAGTCGTGCGCGGCACGACAAACCCGGCAACCCGAGTTCGATTTCCGCTCACGGTCAACACCAGTGACCACTATCTGAACCAGTTCTGGGCCTCCTCGAGGTCCACTCAGCCTCAATTGAGTATCTGGTGCGGTGTGTAAGCATCACCATTGGGGAGGTAAAGGCGGTCGGGCGTGGCGTTGGCAAACCCATTCCCTTGTGTGCCGTGCCGACCTTCACAGGTGCTTACTCGCTAACAGCACTTGCCCCAACAGTCTGCTAAGGCTGTACGGGGGAACTGTGTCTTTGTATGGGTTATAAGCAGATGAGACAGCAGGCACCGTGTCCCCCGAAGCAGGCAGGGGCAGCCCTGCCCCTCTCTGCCTGTAGAACTGCTGCAGGCAGAGAGGGGCAGCTTTTAAACGTTGCGAGTTGACTGACTCGACGATGCCGAACGTCATCGCATCGTTGCTTGCGGACGCCGCTGCAAGGCAAGCTCGGCGCTGCGGAGCAAGAGAGCGTGCCTTTTTTTTCTCTCCATCGCATTAATCATGCAGATTTGACGTGTTTCAATTGTACCCACGGATTGCGGTGTGCAACGTACGTGCTTTGTGTGCGCGCGCGCGTGTGACATCGCGTTTATAATGGCCTACCAGATGGCACGGGACAACCCGCGCATCGGTAACATTGTGCGTTTTTCGAAATTGTGAAGCGGAAAAATCTGCATTGGAAAACTCTCAGGAAGTTATATTGATATGCGGAATGGAAAAAGGTATTTTTGTAAACAAAAACATGCAGATGCGAGCAATATTTGTCATTAATTGCTTCTGCTTTTAAATGTTTAGAAATTGGAACAATGGAATACTGTACGTCACACGCAATATGCAAGCGTGTTGGGTTTGATTGTCCCACTAAAGATCAAGCTTCATACATTTGTGTACGGCCCCTTTTGTCCGCTTAAATGTCTGTCGGCAGAGATTGACAACAAAACAGATCCCAAATGCAGAGCGAGAAGGGGAGGGCTACTCCCAATAACACATTGCTATTCCTAGAGATAACACGAAACCTGTCAATGAAGGCAGGCATGCGTGTTGACATCCCTGTGGGTAGGGTTACGTAGAAAAAACACGTAACGGGAAATGTTTCTGCACACTTCAGCATTGCATTATGGTGAGTAGCCGTGCTGCACGGTTCGGCTGGGATGGGAACCGATCCCATCGGATTGGTCACGATCCAGTTCCCAAGTGGCAATTGGGCCCAAGTACCTATTGTTGGGTGGATGGGATGCGCCTTGTTCTCACAAGAACAAATCTTATCCATAATAGAGGGGTTTTTGGGGGGTTAGATTGCGTAAATAGACATGTGTCTCTAAACCCGTCACCACCCGACACTGCCAATTAGCAAGGTTTGTCACGTAAACAAAATATGCAAATTAGTTGATAGTTCAGCACACCGGAATGTTGGAGAGTAAAACCACAACATTCACAATTCGAGTACGACGTTTCGCCAATAATTACAACTCGCCTCAAATCTTCCCACAATGCATTGTGCCAGTTACATTTTAGATTTTCACTTTAAATATCAATTAGCTTAGTTAGTATTCTTTTGATTCTTGACTGGGTTTTTTGTGTCACTCAATAGCTATTATTAGGTAACTATTGATATGCCTATTTAACAACTGGTCATCATAAAATATTTAATTAATATATGTTATCCTTGTCTGGCCCCCTGGTTTTTAGGTGCAGTCTCCAACCCTTAATAACTCTGCCTCTCTGGCATCTGTGCCTTATGAGGAAGGGACATTGCCCAAAACGTTGCAAATTGTGTGGGGTTTTTTTCATTTTAAGGAAGTGTTCTTGACAAATCTGCGTTGAGTTTTTTTGTGTTACTTGTACACCACTCATCTAAGCAGCATCACCAAATAAATAATTTAAAACAAATTTTGACACAACAATCCTCCAATGCGATTACTAATCACGAAATCTAATCCAGTGACTGTCTGAGATTGCATTTATTATTTTACGTGACGACGCCACTGCTGTTTCCCCACTTTGGATTGACATAGCTTCTAAATGGGACCGCATCTCAGTACGCAGCACAAACAGCACAAACTTGTCAATTTGGACATGTTGAAGAGGATTCTTTTATACATATATTTTTTCGAGCAGGAAATGAGGGGTAGAATTGCGCACGTCAGAGAAGGAATTTAAATGACAATATGGCAGAAGTGCATACTAAGACACTTCATTGAGAGACGATAATGATTCTGTTTTTTTTTTCTCAGAATACATAAAGTACCTTAAATATATCCCCTAAAGGCCCGTTGATACGAGCTTTGCAAATAAATTCCCCCTGTCGAAGCTCTAAGATCCCAGGTTAGAATTAAGCCTGTGGCATGTCTTTAATAACTGCATGTTTTAATTATTGTAATTAGTGTGTATTAATCCAGAAGTTAAGCATATTCATCACAAGGAGTGTGTTATTGCTGATAAAATATGTATATAAGATACGCCCCAAACTCTACCGGTGGGTGTCTAGCGATGGGTGCTAAACGCCACAGCTCTGTTGGTTTTGGCTCGCATATTTCATATCTACGATGACTGATTATATACGGGGAGATTAGCAACGTTTTTCAATGTACGGTTAAGCTAAATGTGCAGCTCTGCACATTACTTGCTCGCATCAGTGCTGGAGTAAGGGCCTCCACTCGAAGAGCGAACTCCAGAGGGTATTTGGTCTACTTTTGCACGCGGAAATGGTTACAGCACAGCGAGTCGACGGGCGGAACACGAGTTGTGGACTTAAATGTGGGTACGCACACCTCTTCAAACGTGTCAGGCCTGTTTGTACTACTAAACACTATATATGTAAGTACATTATGAATTTCATTTTAGTTACAAAAAAAACATTGTCTCTCTGATCAGCTGAATTGCCAATCATGACACGGTTGTGTTGATGAGGTCACATTCTTACAGACCCATGCTCCGGCTATTTGATCCAAAGCTCAAGATTTAAAAAAATTCAGACTATCCAATTCTTATCCAAACTATTGCTACTCACTTAGTAAATACAGTGAGGGAAAAAAGTATTTGATCCCCTGCTGATTTTGTACGTTTGCCCACTGACAAATAAATGAACAGTCTATAATTTTAATGGTAGGTTTATTTGAACATTGAGAGACAGAATAACAACAAAATCCAGAAGAACACATGTCAAAAATGTTATAAATTGATTTGCATTTTGATGAGGGAAATAAGTATTTGACCCCTCTGCAAAACATGACTTAGTACTTGGTGGCAAAACCCTTGTTGGCAATCACAGAGGTCAGACGTTTCTCGTAGTTGGCCACCAGGTTTGCACACATCTCAGGTGGGATTTTGTCCAACTCCTCTTTGCAGATCTTCTCCAAGTCATTAAGGTTTCGAAGCTGACGTTTGACAACTCGAACCTTCAGCTCCCTCCACAGATTTTCTATGGGATTAAGGTCTGGAGACTGGCTAGGCCACTCCAGGACCTTAATGTGCTTCTTCTTGAGCCACTCCTTTGTTGCCTTGGCCGTGTGTTTTGGGTCATTGTCATGCTGGAATACCCATCCACAACCCATTTTCAATGCCATGGCTGAGGGAAGGAGGTTCTCACCCAAGATTTGACGGTACATGGCCCCGTCCATCGTCCCTTTAATGCGGTGAAGTTGTCCTGTCCCCTTAGCAGAAAAACACCCCCAAAGCATAATGTTTCCACCTCCATGTTTGACGGTGGGGATGGTGTTCTTGGGGTCATAGGCAGCATTCCTCCTCCTCCAAACACGGCGAGTTTAGTTGATGCCAAAGAGCTCCATTTTGGTGTCATCTGACCACAACACTTTCACCCAGTTGTCCTCTGAATCATTTAGATGTTCATTGGCAAACTTCAGACGGACATGTATATGTGCTTTCTTGAGCAGGGGGACCTTGCGGGCGCTGCAGGATTTCAGTCCTTCATGGCGTAGTGTGTTACCAATTGTTTTCCTGGTGACTATTGTCCCAGCTGTCTTGAGATCATTGACAAGATCCTCCCGTGTAGTTCTGGGCTGATTCCTCACCGTTCTCATGATCATTGCAACTCCACGAGGTGAGATCTTGCATGGAGCCCCAGGCCGAGGGAGATTGACAGTCCTTTTGTGTTTTTTCCATTTGCGAATAATCATACCAACTGTTGTCACCTTCTCACCAAGCTGCTTGGCAATGGTCTTGTAGCCCATTCCAGCCTTGTGTAGGTCTACAATCTTGTCCCTGACATCCTTGGAGAGCTCTTTGGTCTTGGCCATGGTGGAGAGTTTGGAATCTGATTTATTGATTGCTTCTGTGGACAGGTGTCTTTTATACAGGTAACAAGCTGAGATTAGGAGCACTCCCTTTAAGAGTGTGCTCCTAATCTCAGCTCGTTACCTGTATAAAAGACACCTGGGAGCCAGACATCTTTCTGATTGAGAGGGGATCAAATACTTATTTCCCTCATTAAAATGCAAATCAATTTATAACATTTTTGACATGCGTTTTTCTGGATTTTATTGTTGTCTCTAAACCTACCATTAAAATGATAGACTGATCATTTCTTTGTCAGTGGGCAAACGTACAAAATCAGCAGGGGATCAAATACTTTTTCCCTCACTGTAGGTATTGTGACAAGTTTGCTCGAGCGATATCTGTGTCTGGTTATTAAAATTACTGGTGCTTATCCAGTGACTTCCAATTATTCTTGCTATGTTAAGATGCTTACAATGATTAATTAGAATATTACACTGGCTACTATATGATTTAGCAATAATGCCTGTGGTTTAGCCAGCCATACTCACGAAATGATATGCATCCTACAAATGTTATACGGGATAATGAATTTATTTTTGTTATCCGCGATAACTTAGTGATGTACTTATCGTGCGAATGGAAAAAAAATCACTCCTGTTGTAGACTGATCTTGAATTTTACTTTCTGATTTCACAAAAGACACCAGCATAAAACATAGACATCAACAGAATGTGTTTTTTTTGTCTTCTGATTATTTTCATTTTTACATAAATTGGTCTTTGAAATAACAAAAACAAAATTCTATTATGATTTCAAGCTTGAGACGAACAACTGTGGGAAAATGAAGCACTACGAAAATTAAATACCACTTTAAAATTATTTTTTTGGTTAGGCTTAAAATATGTACCATAAAGCAAAGTAAACTTAATAAATCTACATTCCCCCCCCCCCCCAACCTTTAACATTTGTGATATCAAATAATTATGATGTTACATATTTCGACTTAAGATTTTATGCATTCATACAGGAAATAGCACATATGTATGACAAAATAAAACTTGAAACAGGAATGCAGTTATTGTACACACCAACGGGATATCAGTGGATTCAATTTTCAATCGCGTCAAAATTACTTTACTGAAAGAACCCGCCTGGCTTGACGAGCTTGCTTTGACAGCAAGGGGGTTTAGGTCGGTCACTTTTAAAACTTTACTCTTAAACAGGGAATTGGATAAGCTCATTCGGACAAAAATCAACACATCGTAAAGTAGTTGGTGTTACCACCCTGTGACATACTGTGCCCTTCCATTATACCATGATTCACTCATCCATAATGCATGTAATATTAGCAATGTTTTTTTTATTATTATTAAATTACGTTTTCGATGCTAATACGATATGACCAGAGTCAAGAGGTGTTACGTTGGGAATTATCCCAGTATTTTTTTTCAAATTGATCTATACTTTATTAATTTTATATAAGCCTCCACACTGTGACCCTGTCCATCTACGCAATGTGGAGGAATACACAATAGCGACATGTAATAACATAAAACCTTCACATGGGATATTTCCTACATTTAAAGTTCCAAAGGTTTAAAACATGAACGGTGAAGGAGCAACCAGAATGAAAATGTCCTGCGACACACTTGAAGAGAATGTCTAGTCTGCGTGTCTGTGTGTGTTGCCATGTTACCACACCTCCTTGGTTTTCCTCTGTTGTTAAAAAAGAAAAAAACTTGTGGATTCTCAGCCTCCGCTTTCGATGGCACCACAGCCGGAGTGGTCGAGAACGCTGGGTGTAATACAGCTGCAACCACTGTGATATAGGCCACCCCATCCAGTCACCATTGAATTGTATTCATAATGTGGCCCAGAGTATCACTCAAGACCTTCTTGAAGTCACTGGGTCCATGCGTTGGGGGGATGACTGTCACGTGATTCTGGTGTCCGCCAATGTGCACCAACGAAGCATCTGGAGATATCATACGTTGTGGACTTTGCAACCTTCAAACTAATCGTATTTTTTTCTCCCCCAACAACTTTGGGATTAGAGAAAAAGAAGATTTGAACCTGGCACGTCCTGTTAGGAGTCCCAACATCTTAAATCCATTTCGGTCAAGTGACAGCAAAGCGATTCCCAACACGAGTCAGCTTTTGATGATTTTCCTCTTCATTTTTCCTTCTTCAAACAGCCCCCCCCCCCCAACCTTCAAAAGTCGGCGAGCATTTTTTGCCGCTTGCCTTTCCATTTTTTTGTCCTTTTCCAAAAAAACACCGCTTCGATGTCAACAACAGTTTGACTCGAGTTAACTTTCCCTCTTCTTCATCCTCCTCCTCCTCCTCTTCCTCCTTGGAAAAAAAAAATCCTTGTTCCTTTCGCCGCGCAACTCGCCTCCATCCCATCTTCCGGCGTTCCCTCGCGAACACATTGGCGTGATTATTTTGAACGTGGCGGTGGCGGCGTGGAGGGGGGGAAGCGAGTTTTGGCGCGACGGCCAGCCAGCCCGCCCGCCCGCCCGCCCGCACGCCCGCACGCACGCCCGCACGCACGCGCGGCGTTCCCCTTCCGCGCGGAGGCTCCGTCGATCAGGCGCAGGGCAGCAGCGGAGAGGAGGTGAGGAGCAGCGGCAGCAGCAGGAGGAGCAGGTGAGGAGGGCTGCCGCGGGGGCCCTGGGGCGCGCTCCCTCCCTGCGGGGACGTCGCTTGTGCCGACTGAGACTGCTGCTTCTGGTCGGCGCTCCCGCGCGACCCCTGGGAGCCTGCCGACTCGCGAGACTGCCGAGGGGGAGAGAGAACGCAGAATCAGAACATTTATTTATACTGGAGAAATCCGTTGAGCTATGAAGCTCCTCTTCTTTTTTTTTTACTTACAGATGTCCAATTACGACGCTTGGAGCAAAGAGGCACGAGGTCCACCAGGGATTGCGCAATTTACACGCCAGAAACGAGTGGATATGCACGTGGGTCGACATTTGTACTGTAATGTAAAAAGGTTAAAGGTGCTGCCCTGCAGTTACTTGTTTGCGCCACTGCTAATGGAAGGTCCTCTACGAGAGTAAGCTCTAGGGAGAGTATTTGGTCTACTCTTCCACGCTGGTCCAGACATTTCAGAAGAGGTGGCAACACCCACACTTTTCCGCACCACACATGCGACCTGCCGATAAAACTGCCGTGGACCCATTTAGGCTGCTTTCGTGTGAACAGAGGCGGAGGGATTTAAGAAACCTGCACCGTCGATTCGACCTGCCACGCCGGGAGATCACATCGCACCGGCGAGCTGCGGATTGCAAGTCCAGTGTACGAGCCGTGGCAGCAACCGCCTGGAATGTTCGACAAGAATCGTGGAAGAAGATATAGAGGAAGATTTTGACTTTGCCACACAGGCGTGGGGACAGAGGTGGCAGCTGGCCGTTGGACAATGTGGGCAGCCACGTTGTTTCACCATCATAGCCGCCATGGCAACGAAAAGTGTGCCGACTGTCTATTCACTTCAAGAGAGCTCCCACACGCCAAATTGCGTTGTTTGTCGAGAGTAGCTGCCTACTTTACGTGCCTTCCAGCTTTCTGAGGCCTTTTAGACAAAATAAAATCCATTGGTAGAAATAAAATGACCCCCCCCCCTGCTCCCCCATCGCTCACACGGCACGCAGAGGCCTTCATTACCAGTGGGTTGACACACGTGCGGAATTGTGGCTTGCACATACTGTGCACGACCAGTTAGTATGTAGCAAATACAGCAAAGTGCACACACGACTGGCACTTTTCTTTCTTCCATTAACCTTGTTTTGTATATACACACACATATATAATAAATCAAATGACTAAGTGGAAAGAGCGACTTCCTGCCCTTCATCAGCTTGGGTCAAACAAATGGCATCTGAAAAGGGTGCTAAGGATGCAGGTGACGATGGCCAAATTTATTATTGGACTTCGTATACACCGTCTATGTATACGTCTCATACCTGTGGGATAGAAAATAAAAAAAAAATCCATTATGACGGCGTAGATTTTTGTAACTTATAAAAAAAAATATTCGAAATTGCCTGAGAATTACTTTCAACTTAAAGTCTAGCCCACGATCTTGCAACACTAAGACGTGCGTTCTTACTCAAAACACGAGACGCCTACATTCACGGCAGCTCGGCGGGAAGATATCGTCGCATCTCCAAGCTCCCTTGCATATTCCAACAAACTGACAGCTCGTGCCTGCTCCACATAAACGCACCTAGGACGCAGCGTATCGTGGCGGACAATGGTGTGCATCAGGCCCGTGAGGGGATACATCCGTCAATTTTTGGACATCAATGTGCTCGGCTTCAAATGGCCCCTTAAAGATGTACGGTGAGTTACCAACGATTGCAGGAGGTGGACGATTTGAGCGGCGCTTCAAACGGAGCGGAGTGCCACTCGGCTCGCTCGTTTCAGGACCCGCATCGAGTGGGAGATGCAGCAGCAGCAGCAGCGGCGGCGGCATCGTTAAGTGGCCACGAAATATTGGTCGCCGGTACCTTGCGTTCAATGTTAGTCCGATCAAATGACACGTGAGTGTTGTCACCTGTTGCACCGGGCGACGGGTGACACTCCCCCCCACCACCCCACGTACGCAAGGATGTATAAGCGTAACGACGACGAAAACAGCCAACAACACGACTGGATGGGACGTGAGGGCTGTGGGACGCAGAGGGGAGGGAGACGTCGGGATAAATAAGCAGAGGTCGGCGCGGTGGTCACGGCGCCGGGTGTCCCGAGTTCAATTCCCGCCCGCGACCGATAACAGTGGCGAATGTTTGAAAATCCGCTAGGTCGACTCGGCCTCAAATGAGTACCTGGAGCGGTCTGTGAACATCGCCACTGGGGAGACAAAGGCGGCCGGGCGTGGTGCTGGCAAACCCACTCATTTACAGTCCAATACGAAGATCCCCTGTATAGCCTTGACAGACTGCAAGTGCTGTTAGCGAGCAGCGCCTATGAAGGCCGCCACGGCACACGTGGGGCTGGGTGGGCAGCACCACGCCCCGGCCGCCTTTGTCTCCCCATTGACGATGTTTACACACTGCACCCAGGTACTCATTTGAGGCTGAGTCGACCTAGGGGAGGCGCAGGAACCGTTCAGATAATCGCCATTGGTGGTGGCCCTGAGCGGGAATCGAACTCTGATCACCGGGTTCGTAAGGCAGTGCGCAAACCGCTACAAGGCATCGCAAACAATTTAAGCTGCATCCTATATCCACCGATCAAGAGGAGTGAAAATGATTGTTGTTGCAGTAAAGCACAGAGCAACTGTTTTAATACGTCGTAGGTTAAGGTGTATGAAAAACGCGGTTCATAAAAGAAAGCTTTATTTCGAGGTGCTGGACCATGTGTCACATGCTGTACGCTAATTCACGAACTACTTCCACGCTTCAAAGTGTAAACTAAAATGACGTACATTGCCGATTTCTATTACACTCGGAAGTGGCTTTCTTCGCACACGAACACGGGCGGGCAATTTTTCACACACCCCACGGGTGACTCTTTGCCGGGGAGGTCCCGTCGGGTAACACGATTTTTTGATTGAAAAGCAAGGTCCAACATTATCATCCATTCACAGTGACGAATTGTTGATATGCACATATACACACGCACACACACTTGCAAAATATAAATACATGCGTCGTGTATGCGCGCGCGTGCTATTCAATATAGTTTTTGCACTCCGTATGAAGTTGGTCAATTTAAATATAACTGGGTACTGTATGACAAAAAATCCGCTTCAATTTTTTTTGTAACAAATACATTGTAACAGTTATCCGAGGTATCTAAATGTGGCTTCCATATACTCGTAATCATTGTATTTACTATAATTGTATCTACTCAATGATTGTATTTATCTATGAAAGCCTTGATGGGTCCCTCTTGCTGGAACATCCTGCATTAAGACAAATAGCTACTTCTGTTTGATTGAGCATGTTTGGCCTAACGCGTGCATGCGTGAATAGTTAGCAGTTATTTGATGCATTCTGTGGGTCCTATGCATTAGCAGCAGACCTCGCCATGATTTCCGTGCCGGGACAAACTATCCCCAGGTGCCTTGGCGTTCTAACTTATCACCGCCCAGCATCCACAAGCCACCAATTCAAGGTACGTTCAATGCAACAATCATTTGTATCCCTCCCCTAATGCAGACCTTTCCATCAAGGCAATGTTTGGCACAGCATGCTAATGCGGTGCATGTCACCAGAAATGCTCTCAGGCTCACGCACAATACCCACGTGGTGCCTTTATTAGTTATTGTTTCCGGTTATTGTTTGTGTAGGTGTGTTTTTTTAAAGAAGAAAAAGGCTGGTGGTTGCATGTAAGGTTGATGATGAGAATGAGACATTATCACTGCCATTGTGCAGAGCGAAGCTTCACGCGCCAGGTGTGTGTGGTGCATATTGTGAAATTGCGCGAGATCACGGTATTGTCAGATAGTGGAAACATATAGTCGTGGTAATATTGAGCATACATTGTATGACCGCAAAGCACAGAATTTGAACAGAGATGATTACATGCAGAAACAGGCACACGGTGTGTTGTGATTCCCAATTTCACACAGAGGAGCCTCTTGAATATCTCCTAACTGCTACCGAGCGTGTGATATAAATGCGCATTTAAATGTGGAGTAATTTTTTCCCCCTTTATTTCTAACATCGCCTTCCTTATGCCTTGCTTGTAAGCGGTGGTGTTGGCGGACAGCACCCGAGTCACATTTATTGATGGCCCCTAACAGCAGGCCCGAATCAGTCCTGCCAATATCCTCAACGATGGCGCAATGGAAGGGCATGTTACACGCCATCACGACTTGGAGCTCACAGCACACACAGCAGCTGTGGCGATCTCATATCCGATTAAGCGAACGGTTTATTGGAAATAAGCTTGGCACGCGGATAAAATCGAGCAACGCTTTTCTCTCTCTTTTCAATCGTCACCCATTCGCGGGCACAAATTTAAATTGTCTTTTAAGTAATGCAGCAAAGTATTTCCACCAATTAACTGATTTGTAATACATTAAGACTCATTCCTAGATCACGTAGAGAAAAAAAACCCCCATTAATTACACCACCGTAATTTGTGAATTATATAAGTGATTAAACGTTTCATCTTAATTATTTTTAATGTGTCATAATACACCCTACATAATAGGCTGGAGGCCACCTGAGGCGAATTCTTAAGTCCAAATTCATCGGGATCATGAGAGTACATTTAAAGGGCCTTTCTTGCGATCAGGGCTGGCTGCATTTACAATTCCTCTGAGGGGGTGGGGTGGGGGGGGCTAATAAAATCAGCACCGCTCCTGGATGGAAATTGACGGTGGTTGTCCTCTGAATAAAATAGGCCTTTTGCAGGAAAATGTGGAAATTCCACATGGCCCAGACCTCCACTGGAGATGAACATTGTCTCATGTTGGTTTGCACGTGGTAGACGTTGGCTTTAAATGTGTTTAAATATAATGTAAGCCTGTATAGTACACGTTTATCAATTCACCTTCACAAAGATCCGGTTTATTGTCACGATTCAGGGCCACAGATAACATTTTTTTTACAATTTTTTCGTCTCATATTGTTTCTCATTGTACAGCTTTCTTTCCAGGAGTTCAAAAGGGACATTATATGTATACTGAACTTATTTCACACCATATGTAGCCAACCGTGCTAATTGGAGGTAAATGTGTCGTACACCGACCTCCACCCGACACAGCCAATTGGTGAGGTATTGTAATGTGAACAGAACGTGCCAATTTATTTACATGTTCAGCACACCGCTGTATTTGAAAGCAAACTCACTACATTTACATCTGTTCACGTGACAGACCTTATTCATTGGCTGTGCCGGGTGGCGGGGGGGTTTTACGACACATTTACATTCATGCGATCTGAGCCAGAAAACTCAAATGTCACGTAGGTATAAAATAAAAGAAATCACGACGTTTCGGGCGCAACACAAGCGTCCGGTAAAGTCACGTAGGTAAAGTCACGTAGGTATACCTAGGTATACCTACGTGACTTTAGGTATGCCTACGTGACTTTACCGAAAGAGCCAAAGAGTATGGATTCCTGCAGTCACGAAAGCTTCAAATCAAGATTCAGGGGGATTTAGTTTTCAGGTCCATACGGCGTACAGCCGTTTCAATGCGGGCAAAAACATTTTTTTGTCTATTTGTTTGTGTTTCTCCCTTGTGATGGGACTTTGTAGGATGAACGTTGGGATTTATAAGGGGCACGGAGTGGCCATTAAGGTCTCAATTGGTCTGTAATAAGATAGGGGCACTGATAAGGGGTTGACTGGTATGGAGACGCATTAAATGCAAACATACGTACGGTTACGACGATGACGATGGCCAACAGTGGGGGACTGCTGCTCAATGTTCAGGTCCACCGACACTCCGCAAAGGAGCTTGACGAACGGTGGAAGAAGAAAAGACGCTGGAGCTTCTAAACGTTAGCGATGGGGGGGGGGGGGGGAGGATGGTGATCTACACACCTCTCCGCCACGCACCATGGAGTTCCCGACGGTCGCAAAGATGCTGTCGGCGTCGTCTGCGCTTTCGTCGCTGTCGACGGCGGCCACGTAGGGCTTGCCCTGCACCTGCGGGGGGTCGCGACCTCGCGGCAGCTCGGGCGGAGAGAGCACAGAGGCCGTGGCGGCTGCCATCCCGCGCTGGGCCCACACCTCGCTGCCGTTGCTGAACGCCTGCATGGCGTTCCCTGCGGGGCGGGAGGTCACGGCACGGAGGTGAAGCGGCGAGATGTTTACCGCAACGCCTGCTATGCAGGAGGTCGCGCGGGTTCGATCCCCGACCCTGACGCCTGTTGTTCACGGGGAGTTTGCATGCTCTCCCCGTGGATTTAATGTCTTTTTTGTTTTACATTCGCGCGTCTCGTAACCGCATCTGCCATCTGCAAGACGTGGCTTGATAACCACGACCTGCTGCGTGAATAACAACACAGCCGCCCGTATGTTGACGATCATGACGAGCTGCACCTGAGACGGGCCTCACCTCGTGCATACCAAACGGATGCTTGGGCGCTATGGTGGCGAGATGTTAACTACCTCGCCGGGTGTACGGAGGTCGTGGTTTCGATCGCGACCTGACGCCTGCTGTATGTTTGGAGTTTTGCTTCCCACGGTGGTCGTGTGGATTTCTTCTCTGGGTCCTTCCGGGGGTTTAACCCTCCACATTTAGAGTCAACGTACGTTCGGAGTACAGTACTGGAATTTGTCTGCTATGCATTTCCACGTGATTCGCCACTTTGTTGAGCGATGGTTTGTGTCCAGGTGGCTTCTGAATAAGAGCCACATAGCTCAGTGGGGCCCTATACACCTGGTACAATAAGAATTGTTACAAAATAACAAATAGAATGGCAGGAAAGTGACGGACATGTCGATTTTATCTACACAGAATCAATGTTCGTGAATAATCGAGCCACGCACGGCAAAAAAAAAAAAAACAATTGTGAACAATCGACGTGGATCGTACCGTGAACTCCAATGCACGCATTTTTAGCAGCGTGCTGCGAGAATGCGCAGATTTCTCGCGCATTTTTCGCTCCACAAACGCTCATGTAGAGTTGGGCAAAAAAAAATAAAAAACACAAAAAGAGGTTTCAAAACTTTCCCCGCAACGCCTACGTACGGTCTCTGTATTCGTAGTTCTTGGGACACGTCTTGTGATGTATTATCACACTTCACTGGCTGATTGTATTTTTACTATAACCCCAGGCTTTGTTCTTTGGAGAAAGGCTCAAGTAAACTGAATGGAAAAATGGAAAATACCACTGAGGATATAAACATAGGTGATCGTTAATGATTCGGTAATGTAAATCACGCATTAGAATGTCATTTGACGTTCTTCTGAGGGCATCCAATTTTCAATTTCATTTCGATTCTGAAATGCATTTTCCTTGAAATTTGTATTCTTGTAAATTCTGATGAAAATTGCTTACAGAATTTTACACATGACAGACGAGGAATAATCAAGTTCTTGGAAACTGTTATGCGTCTATGAATGTGTAAAATCACTGCTCTTTCAAATGTGATTTAAGATAATTGTAGTGATTTTAAACAAATCGAATGAACTAATTCATTTAATTGGAGTCAGGTGAGATGCCAATGAAATAGAACACCTCTTATCACGAGAAAAAAATTGCCTTCAGAAACTGTGCAATCGCCAAGGGAGAAATGAACCGTAAAACTCGCATTCTCCATTACGTATTAGTATGAAAACACCGACTGTTTTATCAAGACAGCAAGAATTGTCTTCTGTTAGCTTAGTCCGTAGGTGTACTTTTCAGCCGTGGCATGGGGTTTATAACCTTGGGAATGTTTTCCTTTAATGGGAGACTCCTTAAGGAGGTTTTTGTTTTTATAAATCGCGATAATAACCTATTTGCATTAACAATGGTGCAGAATGTGATGAGTGCAATTATAATGGGTGCATTGTTCACATGGAGGGGGTATAACGTTGGACAGTTTTTAGTGACTCGCAAAGAGACGCATTTTGCACGCGCATATTCCGTGAAGATGGGTTCAAGTGCGGATGTCGGGGCAGCGTCATTTGCAGCTACGCGGAAACGAGAGAACACCATTTGTGTTGCCAGGTCATCGCCCTGCAGAGTAAATATAAACGTGGGTTCTTCGGGTTCCACAACACATGACCCGGGTGACATGCATGTTGACCTTGAGGTCAACCACGTGATGTTCCCGACTGCTCCCGCGTTTCTGCACCTGCGGATAGTCGTCGATTTGCAGCGAAGTGAATGAAAGGCGGAAGAAGCGGGGGATGTGGATATTAATTGAACCGCACCAATGGTACGTGGCATGCATGCAGCGCATGCTGCAAATGGACAACGGGGATAATCGCGGGATTTCTACCGACGGGACGGAAATTTCATTCCGGGGTTTGACAATAGCAGACGTGAGTTTGTGGCGTAATGAACTGCCCAGGTTCATTTGTGAGCAAGATGGATTTGCAGCTTGCACGGAGCAAGTCTCTAAGAATGTCGGCAGACAGAGGGGCAGTTATTTTCTACAGGGGAATGGAAGAGGTGTATTTTGTGTAAAAAGAAAATTGCGGAGATGTTTATGTAGACGTGCCGAATTTAATCCTGTGTACTTACAATATGTGACTGCTTCCTTAAAAACCTCTTGATGTTTTGTTGAAAATTCCATAAGCGGAAGACTTAAGGATTACAGCCTGCCACCACTCCACTACAGAGAATAATTAACCTTTTTTTTGTTGTTGTGACAGAACTATGTGCAGTTCGCGTCATATCAGTGTTCGAACTTATTGTTGATCATATTTATAAGTCCATAAATATGATCAGTGCACGTGAATGCAAGTAACATAGAGTATTTTATTTCCAACGTATTTTTTTTAATTCCTGGATGAAAACACCTCTCGACCATAATCACGGATGTTGCCTTGCAACAAGAAAAAGGGCAGTCAGGATATTTAGATTTGTAGTTGTTGCTGTGAAAATATTGATGAACGTGGATATTTAAATGATTTTTTTCAAGTGTAATGAGTAGCAGACGAAACCTTCACACAGCAAAGTAAAGCCTATAATGTTTTAAGAGTTTATAATTCTAAATGAGATCTATTTAAAACTGCAAGGTATTATGTAAATGTTTTTAATAGAACACTCCATCACCCGACATTGCCAATACATGAAATTATCACGTCGTAGGCAAATGTGCCAATTGTTTTTTTTTATTTAAATCAAAACCAGAACATTGAAAAGCAAGCGACAATGTTGACAATTTTACGCGACGTTTCGCTGGAGATTACAACCAGCATCGTCAGGTGTTCACAGAAAAAAAAACTCAAAATCGATTGACACGTTTGCCCACGACGTGACAACTTGATTTTATTGGCTCTGTCGCTGGGTGATGGAGGGCTATGGTTAAGAATTGACAGTACACCTACACGCTGACCCAAAATCAACTAATTACGAGTCGTATTGGTGGTGGAAGCCTACGTGTAAGTTTTAACAGCTAATTTGTGGAATCGGCAAACGTGCGCTAGGTTAATGAGACGCGCCGTCATCCGAACTGTTCGGAAAAGTAATGTGGGATTGGGCCGGACAGAAGTGATGGACAATATCGAGAGGGTACGTTTAACGGAGTGGCGGCAAAGACGTGGAACGTATCCGAGAGAATTTCCACTGAGCCAGAGATTGTGCGATGAGATTGGTTCAGCAGGTGCTGGATGGGTGGTTGCCTTGCAGGATTGTGACAGGTGGCAACGGTGGCTTGGGGGGCCTCCATCCAGCAGTGGATTGATCATGACAGATGATGATGATTGATGATGGTGGCGAGTCTATTCTTACGCACGGCACTACGTTCAGCAGCTAAACGCGAATGTCGAGGTCTGCTCGCCATGGTGTTCGCGAGAGGGCTTCAGGAGACAGTCGGCAACGTTTTGCTGTTCTTCCTCCGTTGACGGAGCGCAGGTCACAGTGGTCCGGTGTACGGTGCGTGATGGTGATGATGGTGGTGATGGTGGTGGTGATGGTGATGATGGTGGTGATGGTGATGATGGTGGTGATGGTGATGATGGTGGTGATGGTGATGATGGTGGTGATGGTGATGATGGTGGTGATGGTGATGATGGTGGTGATGGTGATGATGGTGGTGATGGTGATGATGGTGGTGGTGATGATGGTGGTGATGGTGATGGTGGTGGTGATGGTGGTGATGGTGGTGATGGTGATGATGGTGGTGATGGTGATGATGGTGATGATGGTGGTGATGGTGATGATGGTGGTGATGGTGATGATGGTGGTGATGGTGATGATGGTGGTGATGGTGGTGATGGTGGTGATGGTGATGATGGTGGTGATGGTGATGATGGTGATGATGGTGATGATGGTGGTGATGGTGATGATGGTGGTGATGGTGATGGTGGTGGTGATGGTGATGATGGTGGTGATGGTGATGATGGTGGTGATGGTGATGATGGTGGTGATGGTGATGATGATGGTGGTGATGGTGATGATGGTGGTGATGGTGATGATGATGGTGGTGATGGTGATGATGGTGATGATGGTGATGATGGTGATGATGGTGGTGATGGTGATGATGGTGGTGATGGTGATGATGGTGGTGATGGTGATGATGGTGGTGGTGATGGTGATGATGGTGGTGATGGTGGTGATGGTGATGATGGTGATGGTGGTGGTGATGGTGGTGATGGTGGTGATGGTGATGTGCGTGCGGCGCTTACTCAGGCAAGGGTTGTCGGTGAAGAGTTTGAGCAGCCTGTCGCACTCCTCGCGGTCGTTGCCGCTGCTGCCGCACGAGCACCATGGGGACACGGCGGCGGCGCTCTGCGTGTCCACGTAGTTGGGCGTCATCACGGTGCCTGCGTCGCGAGACACGACGTGCGCGGCAAGTCAGCATGTGGGGGGGGGGGGCCCAGGGGTACCCCCCCCACCCCACCTCCACTCCCACCCTAACGATTCAATGCTTTTGGTACAATGCAGGGTTGTTGGGGGGGGGGGGGGGGGGTTATTGGTTGTCATTGTAACATTCTGACCTGCCCCTACTGGACATCTGTGATTCCTCCAGTTGCAATAAATATTCTGATTCTGAAGAATCGGTATGAATTGATGAAGCGATGGAGCGTTACACCCCTACCGTTCGCCGTCGCCGCGACAACAACGATGATGAAGTTGATGACAAGCGCGGGTGCTATTGCCGTTAAGGGATTGTGGTTGCCGTCATGCAAAGCCAAGTTCATCGTTCACCATTTTATTAATGTGTCAATTAATTACATTCTTTTTTCATTTCATCATTATATTTGCGGTCTCTTCACCATGACCGTAAACCTGTATTCACTGTGTTTACTAACAAATTAACAAAATAAACATTATTGATCAGAACCATCTTGGTCATCCACTATCAAATAACCATCAATTGAATAATAAACAATCATTGAGAGCCATTTGTCCATCCACTGCTGGAAGAAACCTTCCCTCCCAGTGTCGGCCTTGGAGGTTGTTTTACCATACTTCACTATTCTGGTTCGTGTGGACAGGTGAAGGGTGGGTCCCAGGCCACTGACGTTTTAATCGTGGCCTAGAACCACAAAGTTCACCGGGGTTCACATTGCAGTGCGTGAACCACTGCACCGCTCTTCCACACTTATCAACTGTAGTAATATGAGTAAACACAATGTCCTCTACATCATGAAATGCTATTATCATCCTCACAACCGAGGATGAGTCGACAGTAAACAATAAATAACTGCTTTAATAAAGATGGGTGCAAACCATGATGTGACGCTGATGAAAGTGCAGATGTTTAAGATTCCACTTTATCGTCGGATAAACTATTTAAGCAAGAGTGGTTTCTCACCGCTCCAAAACAATCAGTGAGGAAGCAGGAAGAGAACGTTTACTAACTCGGTAATTACCGGCAATATTTCCCAACGTGCTCAAAACAGATATGCACGTTGTGATAAAAAATAAAAAGTGCACGTCAGCGGGGACATTTTTCTTCTTCTTTACAAGCGCGTAAATTAGCCAGCACGTTGCTTATGTTTCGAATTTTCCTCAAGAGGATTACGACGGCGCTGATGTTTGATTTGTTTTAGTTTTACACCGCGGAAATAATGTCCCAGATAGGCCCGATGAGCTTATCGGTCACTCCGAAGCTCGTCGTGAACAGTGAACAAAGGCATTGGTCAAGTGCACGCTGCTGCTGCTGCTGCCGCCGCCGCTAGAATTTCTATTGCTGAATGCGTTGTGCTTTTTTTATTGTCAATTTTTTTTTACAGGGAAATGTTTGTGTGCGTGTTTTTTTTTTTATTTACTCCGGTTTACCCGAGTCTCGAGACTCTTTTTGTGGAGGGTCCTGCCCAGATGTCACAGTAGGGGGCGATGTTGCTGCTAAGCGTGTGATCCCAAATGAGGCATTTTCAGGAAAATATTTCGGCAAAGGGAAGTTTGGCCGCTGCCGGCTAGGTTGTACGTCTTGTTTAGCGATAGGAGGACAGGGAAAGAGAGAGAATAACACAAACTCCGCAGGGAATAAACGCCAGGAATCGCACCCAGGCCGTGTTTGATGTGAGCCTCCCTGTGGCCCCCATCACAGCGGTCAGCCCATGATGTCTCAAACCTCCAATCGGCGCAATGTGGCCGTGCTGCCTTTCCCAACCCGAAGAAGACATCCTTCACTTTGTAAACCTCGGCACCATATTTACTGACTGGCATGTTTCTTTATTCTCTGCCCTGGAGCCAAGAGAATCGCTCTAAATATCGACTCGGTAGAACTGTATTTGGTTCAAATTGAACGTATACCTTTATCACTTTTCAGCGTAAGACTCTCGTTCAAAATACATCAATCAAGTAGTGCTATTGGCAGCTGCTGTATGAGTAACCTGCTCAAATGACGGGCAGAGGTACGCACACATGCGTGAATACCACGAGCATGCACGAGTTCTCTGTCACACGTACACACACGGTGATTAAAGTTAACATCATAATGCTGTGGAACATCTAAACATTTTACGTTTAAGCCAAAATGGTTGTCATGCGAGCGATTTTTGTTGTGTGTGTGGCGACAACCCAAGCAAGCAAATGGACAAAAAGCGAAAATGACTGCCTCGAAATTGTCGCTCGCCACCAAAGTGGCGTGGCCGTTGTTTGACTTTGCGTTAGCGCCGTGTGGCTAGCCAGCGGAGTGTGGATATCGGTGTCGGAGGACGGGGGAAAACGGCGTTCGAGAAGAGGACTAAAGACTGTTTTAATTGTTTGGATTTGGGAAAGGATCCCCAACCCCCCACCCTTGTCAAGGGGCCTCTGAGGTCGATGTTAACCTCGCTTCGAGAGTTGTGCCGTGACTGAGAGCTGTGTAGGAGAAAGTGGCTCTCCTCCTACTCCTCGCCCAGCACTCACCGATAGGGGCTACAGAAAGCCAAGACCACCGCTCACCTACCCATAATCATCCCCCCATGTTTACACACCACACCAGGTACTCATTTGAGGCTGAGTCGACCTAGGGGAAGCTTAGGTCCGGTTCCGATAATATAATTGTCACCGGTGTTGGTGGCCGTGAGCGGGAATCGAACTCGGTTCTCTGGTTCGTAGCGCAGCAGCGCAGCGCTCACCGCTGTACCCCCACTCCCCAACCCCCACTCCCCCCACCACCCCCACTCCCCAACCCTCACTCCCCCCCCCACTCCCAAACCCTCACTCTCCCCACCACCCCCACTCCCCCCAACCCTCACTCCCCCCACCACCCCCACTCCCCCCAACCCTCACTCCCCCCACCACCCCCACTCCCCCCAACCCTCACTCCCCCCAACCCTCACTCCCCCCACCACCCCCACTCCCCCCAACCCTCACTCCCCCCACCACCCCCACTCCCCAACCCCCACTCCCCCCACCACCCCCACTCCCCAACCCTCACTCCCCCCCCCACCCCCACTCCCCAACCCCCACTCCCCCCACCACCCCCACTCCCCAACCCTCACTCCCCCCACCACCCCCACTCCCCCCACAACCCCCACTCCCCCCACTACCCCCCTCCAACTTCTGCCCACCCCACTCCTTACCCCCTAATCTCCACACCCCCAACCACTCCTTCCCAACTCCCTCCAATCGCAACCCCCCCCCACCACTCCCCCCACCTCCAGCCTCCCCCCACTTTATTTCCCACACGCTCGCTCGCCCCTTCAGGCGGAGTGGCCGTTTAAACATCACCACCATTAAGTACTTGAGCGGGCGCCTTGAGCCGTTTAGCGGAGGGCAAAAAAAGGATGCTGATCGACAGGGAAACTTCTAGGGAAAAAGTGGAACCGTCAGTAATTGCCGATAATTGCCTCCCCAATGTTTGGCTGCGGTATTGGCCACCACTCGTCAAAACACGGGCACAGAACCCCACTACGATAATCAATTAGCAGGCGGCGAAGATTTGTTGTTAAACCGATTTCCTCACTATAGATTATGAGATAACTTTCCCTTCGGATTAAAATTCGCTGTACAATTAACACATACTTCTTGATTAAAAACAAGCAAAAAACTAAAACACATTCGTCAATAACACCGTGATCTTAAAAATAAAATAGGCGACGTTTTGGGCAATGGGCCTGCTTCATAGCACATTGATGCTGCTTGATAGGCCTTCAAACCGTACCAATTATAACCACTGGAGTATCCTTCTGTGCATGTCAAGTAAAATAAAAACACATTCATTGCTCAAGCGAGCCCAGCGGGTGGTGCTAATCTGCATTCGTGGACCCGTGGCAGTCTCAAATTACAGCTACTGGTTGACCGTCCGCAACGTTATACTCATCTTTAGTCACCCCGCATGGATGATGTGCTGTGTGGGACTCCTTGACCAGAGTTTCACATTGCAACCTTTCAGATTGTGAGTTGAGCACTCTACCCACAGCATCCCTCAAACAGGCGTTTAATATAATGTTGCACAAGACAAATATTCCCCCGGATAGCCTAATAGACTGGAGGAGCAAGTGCTGTTAGCGAGTAGCACTTATGAAGGCTGGCACGGTACACAAGGCGGTGGGTGGCCAGCACCACGCCCGGCCGACTTTGCCACCAGAGTGCCAATGTTTACACACCGCATCAGATACTCATTTGAGGCTGAGTCGACTTAGGGGAGGCCCAGGACCGGTTCCGATAATCGTCACCGGTGTTGACCGTGAGCAGGAATCAAACCCGGTTTACTGGGTTCGCAGGGCAGCGCGCTAACCGTTGTACTACCGCTGCCCACTGGATGTTATACACATCGTGTACATAATGTATGCACCATCGGGGTATTGTCAGGAATGTGTTTGTCCTGGAATTTATCCGTAACAGCTCTTCACAAATGCCTGCAGTCTGTCCTTTTTTTCTTATGAGAGGACTACATTTTAATCTGCAGAAGCATGAATTACTCTAAACAAAGTTAAGCTTATTTTAAAGAAAGTATGATGAGTCATTTGAAAGTATTTTCCTGTATAATTACTTAAATAAGCATTCGCTGAATCATTTCCATTAAGCTGAATAATAATTCTTAAGGATTTCATAAAATAACTTGGCATAATTGCTCAGTCGATGAAACCAATTGAGTGGACGATGGAGTTTTTTATTACAGTTTCTTTTCGTGAGTATTTCATCTTGCGGAGTCTCAAGCGCGAATAAAATTTGGAAGAAAAGTACTAGGGCTGTTATTTTAAAATGCGAAGCATAACACTTAAGCATTCAAGAACATTGCGGGAAAATTAGACCACGTGGCAAAATGGTCAGTAGTTTATGTGAACGTGCAATACTTATGTACTTTCAAATATAATTATAACATTTCATTATTGTTGTCCCGACTAGGTTAATTTGAAAGCAGAAAAAACAGTCTGCAATTGAACGCAAGTTTTTTTTTACAAACTATATTTAAGGTACACGTGGACAATTGCCACAAACAAACTATATGTATGTCAACTGTCAATAATGCCCTGTTTATTAAACGTCCGAAATTTGGCAAAAAATTGCAGAGGCCCTAAATGTTTTGCTGTACGTATAGCGCCTCTAAATAATAACTCCGGTGAACCGAGGATTGCTGGAGTTCATAATTGTTGGAGAACCTACGTATGACATCAACGATCGGCATGCTTAGTAGTCACTCGATAAGTATTCCAGGAGTAGGCTTTCACAGCTGCCTTGAGAGGCACTTAATGCACTAATTGCTTATTCTGAAGTTGTGGGAACATTGGGCCATGCTTCCGGAGTCAGTGGCTTGCGAACATGAAAACAACCGAATGCTGTTTGCAGTTTGGAGGCGTGCACGCTTTGAGTGTGCGATGGGATTGGGTCACATCCAATCTCATCGCAACCAGAATAGGAATAGGAGGTGATCGAATTGGAGGCGGTGGAACAGGTGATCGAATAGGTGGTCGCATCTGATCCGCGCTGTCCTAGTCATAGTTTCTCAGCAGCCCGAATAATTCAATGACCATCGGGAGTGATTGCAATCAAGATTTACATTACCGAGTAACAACGTGTGATCACGTAGAAATTTTGTAATTTAAATAACACAAGGAATGTTTAATTAATTAACAAAAACGTGTGTCGGTGGCTTGTTAAAACAAAAGTTTTCTCAGTGGAGAGACTGTAGCCCAGGCAGCAGCACACGAGGTGGCAACGCTGAATACACAGAGGCCAACTCGGCGTGTTTTGTGTTTGTGTTGAGCGGTGTTGTCTATCCCCTGCACCTCCGGATAAGCACGATTGGCTACTTACGGTGCGACAGAAGGTGAACATAGATTGGCTCTCGTTTGGGATTTGGATTTTTACGATGAAAAAAAACACACATTAATTGAAGAACGTCGAATTTAAGTTTTTAACTGTTGGAAAAAAAAAACTGGAATATGTTTGATAAAAGCTGGCAAGTGAACCCACGTCGCCACCAAGTTTGCTACACAGAGCACAGAGCCGTGTACTGGGCATGCTCCCCCCCTCCCTCCCTCACCAATTAGGCCTACTTTGCGAGGCTTCACTTGCGATGAAAACACCTTGTTGCACGGTCGATTTGTATTCCTCAAACTGCATATTCGATGCGGTGGGTTTTGTAAAACAGTGGCACATTAATACAGCCGGCGGTTTCCCTCACGATTGGGCATGGTGAGGGGGGAAGCACTCATCTCTACCCTGGGCTCGCAGTATACATTCCACATTGCTATGGCGGGGACAAGTCTTTTTTTCCATAGGACAACCGTTGTTGACTTCCCCCCCCTCCACCGCCTCCCCCCCCACAAAACGGGAGCCATTTTATCTACCACCAGAGAGACGAAGGGGCTTGACCAGGACTTGACCTCCACAATCTTCCGATGGCGAGGCGACACAATTTGCCACGGCACCACTTTGCCGGATCTCATGGGGCGTTCGCGATGGGTACGTTTGGTTTGTTTGTGCTGAACAACAATAATGCTGTGTGGCGAAGAATGTGACCTGACCAATGAGTCCGGTGTAGGAGAGCAGACAGGAGGCGTAATTCTCGTTGTAGCATCCGCTGATGGACTTTTTGGAGGGGCTGCAGTTGATGATGAAGTCTGCCAGCCTTGACCTGGAGGAGGCAAAAAAAACACACAGAAAGGAAGGGAAAGCGTTAGGCTGCAAATTGGAGAAGGATCCAGATGACCGGGTGCGGTAAGGGAAAAGTGATAGACCACATTAGACGTGGAGGTACCTAAAAGGTTAGAAAAGTGTCGCCTAACAAAATTATGCGTTGCACCATTAGAGGCCACAGAGGCTGTCTGAGACCCGTGTAATCTAATTGGCGATGGTAGAATGGCATGGTAACTCTACACTCTCGCTCAGGGGCCGATGGCAGATGGAAGCAGCGGTACTGTATCCGTTGAAAGGTGCAACTCTAGAGAGTGTACGCTCCGACACGGAGAATGAAGCCTTCGTGAGAAATGCAACATTAAGGGGGGCGGTGGGGGGGATGTGCGCTCATCCGCCTTGCGTGGTTGCATTCAACTGTAAAGCAGAGCGGGTTTAATGTAATGGAATGTATGATGAGAGTGACAATCTATATGGTAGTTAGAGTAATACATTCAAAATCGTAATGAAATGCTCTTGGGATTACACTATCAATGGCCCATTAACAATTCATAGTTTTCAGTGCAAGATGTGTCCAGACGACAGTGCTTATCTACGAATCCCCGATTTAAGTAATGCTTACTGCACTTAAAGGCAACGCAGGAAAACAGGATTGTGGTTCGCGTATTAAGATTGATCCGTGCGGCCAGATAACACGGTGCGTGAGTGACAGCGCTGAGCGCTGTAATGGTCTCAGCGCAACCAGGCTCAGGGCGTCAGCCCACAGCTCCACCGTTTTTATTTCCTCCCCCCCCCTTCCTCCTCGTCTATCAGCCCTAATACCCCCCCCTCCCGCAGCATCTCCGCACATGCACACGCCTCTTCAAATTGGGGTCCCCCGCTCATAGCCTCTGAACCTCCAATTCCATCCTGCACGCACGCTCACCCCGTTACTCCCACGGCCTCATCGTCGTGGAACAGTGGAACAGTGAAACAGTAGAACAGTAGAACAGTGGAACAGTAGAACAGTGGAACAGTGGAACAGTGGAACAGTAGAACAGTGGAACAGTGGAACAGTGGAACAGTGAAACAGTAGAACAGTGAAACAGTGGAACAGTGGAACAGTAGAACAGTGGAACAGTAGAACAGTGGAACAGTGGAACAGTGGAACAGTGGAACAGTAGAACAGTGGAACAGTGGAACAGTGGAACAGTGAAACAGTAGAACAGTGAAACAGTGGAACAGTGGAACAGTAGAACAGTGGAACAGTGGAACAGTGAAACAGTAGAACAGTAGAACAGTGGAACAGTGGAACAGTAGAACAGTGGAACAGTGGAACAGTGGAACAGTGAAACAGTGGAACAGTGGAAGAGTTGCCTGAGCAAGAATTTACGGAACGGGGTGAGAGGGGGGAGGAGGCGGGGTGCGGAGCACGTGGTTAGTGGTAAGGATGCGGGGGGTCACTGGTTAATTTTGGGGGTCGCCGTTATAGCGCGTCACCCAAAGGTGGCTTTGTTCTGCTTTGTCTCAATAAGGCTCGCGGTGCTGGGCGTTGAGAAAGTAAAGGGAGGGTGGGAGGGGTGGAAGGCCGCAATCGGCACACATATGTTTCTATTGGCGCCCCGTGGGCCACCGTAAACATTGTGCTTGAGCAAGGAGGGGCTCAGAAGTGGCACGCGCAGCCCCCTCGTCAGACACCTCCTCATGTTCGCTCGTTGCATGTGCCCCCTTGTGCGTCTGATGTGGGTTCAGATGTTGAGAATAGGGGGCCATGCAATAACGCTGTTCTTGGACAGCTTTAATATTAAGGGATGGATGCATATTTGATTAATGTGCGCTGTAATAGAGGGGCCTCGCTTTTTTTCTCTCTCTCTCTCATTTTATTAATATCCGAGTGACAACCCCAATGAGATATAACATCTGTTTTAGAAAGGGCGGCTCTGGTCGCATGCGGGAATTTAAATTCTGGACCTCTTTTCCCATAAGAAAATCAATCCACGGAGCCATCCTTCCATCAAATTGTATACCACCACCATATATTACCCGCGGTGCTATTCATAAGAAAGCTCATTCAGATACATTATCTCTCTTAGAAGTTTGCTCCCGAAATGTAATGCCAAACATTATTGGGTACGAGAAAAAGGACTACTTTAAAATTATTGTTTCTACTTCACTGTAGGCTCATACAAAATGTTGGGTATTCTACTGAAATAACAATAAGATCTTCTTGTTCGTACGGCTGCTGTTGATGTAGAGGAACAGCTATGACTTGACATCGGGGCAGCTGGGCCAGATGATTGTGGAGCAGAGAAGTGCATCGCTGTGGTGATGATGATGATGCGTGTATTTTGAACTTCTTTCGCACCATGAATAGCCAACCGTGCTCATCGGAGGTGTGGGGGGAAGGACACAAAAACTGAACACAAATCAGTTCTAGATAGCGCCAGCGGCTTCCTAATATCGTAAGGATGAGCGTTCCAGACGGCCGCACATGAAAGCGCGCAACATCAGTGACCGCCTTTGTTCGATGGCCAGCCAAAAGGCGCTGCTGTGAGGATGACCGGAGTGCGCGTGATAGTTCATGCTCCCTGACGAGACGATGCCTCCTCCGTCAAACTGAATCCGGCGTGGAGTCGTTCTACTCCCGATCACCACATTCACCGGCGCACGCTGACCGCAGATTTTTAAAAGAAAAAAATCCAATTGCGGGTCAAGAAACCGCATCTGCCACTTGCAAGACGTCGCCTCATAACCACGACCTGCTGCGTGAATAACAACGCAGCCGCCCGCATGTTGACGATCATGACGAGCTGCTGCGACTGAGACGGGCCTCACCTTGTGCATAGCTAACGGACGCTCGCGCGCCACCGTGGCGAGATGTTAACTACCTCGCCGGGTGTTTTCCACGAGGTCGTGGTTTCGATCCTGACTCTGACGCCTGTATATGTGGAGTTTGCGTGTCTCTCTCTCTCTCCCCCGTGGATTTTTCTCTGGGCCCTCCGATTTTCCCTTCCACATTTAGAATCAACATCACCACGCGTTCAGACGATTTGGCTGCTGACAATTTCCACACGTCGATAAGCTGCATCGCTGAGCTTATCATTCGTGATGGCCAGGTCGCTTCTGACAAAAAGAGCTACATAGCTCAGCGGACCTTACCTGGTGAAAATCAAACTTTAGTTTGATCAAATTTTAGTTTGATTTTGCTTGGATGCGTTCGCGAGTGAAACTGCGACTCCCTCTCCCCCTCCCCTCCGCTTGATGTCCCCGTGCCGTCACGTCTCCTGACAACTCGCGATGCTCCCCACCTCGCCCCTCCCGTCGTGCTTTTCACTTCTATTCACGCTGTGAGCGGCGGTAGCAGCAGCGGTAGCCACCCAGCTGCTGTGCGCGCGTGTGGTCCTCTAGCGGGGGGGGGGGGGCTATTTACAGTCGCCGTCCTCTGTACGTCCCGCAACGTGGACAGCTGTTAGCGCGGTGACCCCCCCCCCCCTGCCCCGTGCGCGGGTTACGAGGGTGTGTGGCACTGGGGTGTCCGACTCTCTACTTTGCACACGCACGCGACAAAGATAAAGATCCCCCCCCCCCCCCAGTGATAGCCTTAACAGACTGTTGGGGCAAGTGTAATGAGCGAGTAGCTGAAAAGTGTGAATCTGTGGCCAATGTAATTGTTCGTACACGCGGATAAACATGGCTAAAACGGCACTCACCCTGCATCTCTGTAACAGGCGTGTGAGCTGTAACAGGTGTGAATGTAACAGGTGTGTGTGTGTGAGATGCACACCGGATGTGCCGCCTCTTCAATGCCCTTGACGTGCCCAGCAGACTCTCTGCCGCTGTCTCCTCAAGGGCGATGTTTACTCATCGCACCAGGTACTCATTTGAGGCCGAGTCGACCTGCGGAATTCCCAGGACCGGTTCAGATCATCGTCACCGGTGTTCTCCGTGTGCGGGAATCGAACTCGGGCGGCCGGGTTCATAGCGCAGCGTGCTCACCACTGCACGCGCAACATGCACGCGTGTGCGCTGCATAGTTTTGAAAACCACTCTGGGCTTAATCCCAAGTAATGCCAATGTACAAACTCTGTGAATGTGAATAAATCATCAAATTAATGCATTATTAATGTTGCGTTCCTGCTCAAAACAAGCGGAACAAGGTACACGTGTGTCCGTCCAAATAATCTCCATATTGACCACCCCTTGTAACACAGGACAAAGATTCCCAAAGCCTTTAGACTGTCAGAGTTAGAGCTGTTCGCGAACGCCTGTTAAGGCTGAATCGGGTGCACGAAGAAATGTGTGACCAGCATGCACCATGCCTGGCCGCCTTTGTCTCTTCACCATTAAATTTTGATTTAAAGCTTTCGTGACTGCAGGGATTCATATTCTTGGCTCTTTCTCTCCACCATTGTTTAAGTAGGGGCTTCTTTTCAGGCTGAGCCTACCTATGGGAGGCCGAGGACTGGTTCAGATATAACTTGCTGCTGATGTTGGCTGTGGGTGGGAATCAAGCTCAGGTTATGTGGCCTTGGTAGTGCAGTGGGGGCCATCCAAATTGTCCCCATATACTGTCCATACACACGTGCACTATATATGTGTGCCAAAGAGCTATCGCATTAAATTTGTGTAATGAACACAGCAAAGCTCAATAGTGCATTTTAGAGATAATCATTTTTTTAGATCACCCTCCCAATGCGTCATTTGGTTTCACAGGACAGAATTGCTGCACATTTTCCCCATGAAGGCATGTGTGGGTGAAGATAACTGCGAGTAGCCCAAAAGGCATTTTTGAGCTGTTTAAAGTAATTCCGGTCCATCGTGCCATAGTTCACACCACGGCCCAATTTCATTTGCCAGGCCACACGAGTACCGAGGTAGACTAAGCTTACGATATTGCCCTCCACCCACTGCTGCTGACGAACGGGATCTCGCTGTGTCCATGCAAGGGGGCAGCAGGACAGCAGGCACAAATGTAACGCATTATAAGTTAGACTGGTTTGTCAGATCGTGTACATAATGCAC